CAACGAAAAATTAAAGCAAGAGATATAACGTCGATATTTACTGTACAAAATATATACTTTTTTATCATGAGACTACAGATTTATTGATGTACTTATGCATATATATATATATATATATATATATATATATATATATATATATATATATATATATATATATATAAAATATTCAAAGTTACCTCATTTGATAATAGCTATTTCGACCCTCAATATTTTAACTTGTAAGTCTTGTCGACTCAGAGATATGAAGAAATAAAATAAATTATTTAAACATTTAAAGAATAAAAGAAGAAGAAGGAGAAAGAAAGATAGAAAGAACAGAAAAAAGGAAAGAGAAAAAAAAAGGGAGAAGAATAAAAAGGGAGTTGCAATAGACAATCTAAATAAACTACCAAAATCATGATAGTCGTGGTGTGAGTGTCTTGTCTAAGTCAAGAAGACAGGTAAAATAACCTTGGCCTATATTAAAATATTAATATGTAGTTTATAGAGGAAAATATTTACCAATTTGAGAAGATATTTTTAAAAAGGTAAAATCTAAAATTACATTAAAAAAGTATGTAATATTCACATAATAATACATTACATATGATAAATAAAATAATTATAGAATAAAACAATTATTGATGAAAAAAATATTAAATAAAATAAAATTAAAATATAATTTATTATCTATAAATTAATAAGTATTAAATATTAATTAAAAATAAATATTAAATATAAATTTAAAATAAATTAATATTAATTAAAAATAAATAATTATTAAATATAAATTAAATAAAATAATAAACATAAATAAAATATCAAAATAAATATCAAATAAAATAATTATTGAATAAACCATATAATAAATTAAATAAGAACAAAAATAAAGAAAATAAGTAATAATAATAATAATAATTAATTAATAATAATTAAAATTATACTAATAATAAAAAATTAAAAGAGCAAGATGAAAAAGAATAAGAAAAGTAATGATGTTAAAAGATAAAGGAGAAAAAACTTTGCAAAAATCATAATAGTGAAAAAATATATAGAAGATAAAAAGATAGATAATAAAATTTTTCGATAGGGTTGAAATGGAGTAGAAATAACGATATATGTGTTAGGTGATAACAGATAAAACAAGATCAATAATATTCTAGATCAGTTTAAACCTACTCATGTGACGACATTTGGAAACTAACTCATTCCTTTGGTTTAATAGTATGCTTTTATCATTGAATTTAATTTTAATCTTCTCTTTTAAAAATAGATTCTACCCTTAGAATTATTAGGAGTGTGAGCAAAACCTATGAATTTCTATTTAATCCGAGGGTTATGGTCTTTCTCCCTCAATTCCCCAAATTTTTTGGAAAGAGCAGTTTGGTATTTTAATTTTGGGTTGGAAAAAGTGTGCCTATCAGTGTAAAGTCTTTGTTTCCCCCCCCCCCGCGGAAATTCCAATGTAAATACTGTGGTTTAACTTATTTTCTTTGGGGTAAATGGTTGCTTGCTTGGTAAACAACATTCGAAGCTCTACATTTTCCTTCGACTGAAATATTCGTTTTATCTACAATTACAGGCTGGATCCATATCAGGTTTATTGTTAATACCATAGAATTTGCTTAAAATGTAGTTATTATGGAAGTCAATGATTTTGTACATGTTTGTGTAGGAATAGATTATTTTGATGGTTTTTCTATTGGGGATCACACTTAGAGGGTTGGGGTTTTTTTTTTTTAATATTTATCTATTAACTTCAGAAAAACTTGTCCGATATTATTATGTTGCATAACTTACAGAAGTTGGGGTTGAACCATATTATTTTTCTTTTTCTATTTTTGTTCTTGCAATTCATCTTATCCTCACTATTGTTATTCATGATTTTTATGTGATATATTCAAGGCTCTATCAGTTTTCTTCTGTAATTTTACAGTAAGTGGACCATTACTATTAGGAACAAAAATGAGTCCATCGTCTCTATATAGGCCTACTAGTTTAGGATTTACAATTCTACTAAGAATATTTAGAATATAGAAGCAATCTGGGCCGAATCATACATTCCCATCGGAACGTCAAAGTCGTCATTCTTGCACTTAATTCAGGTAGAATTATTAAATGCTAACAGTAATTTCCTGGCGGTAAATATGATAGTAATTTAGTTATCTCCATATAGTTTATTGCAAATTTGATGCAATCCACTAGGAGGTCTCTGGAGATAGAGGAATAAAAATCGATAATATCAAACTTAATAAAAGTTGATCTAATTTTACCACTCATATTAATGAACTATTAGATGGTATCAGAAGAATCTTTCCAAAGATTGGCTCCAGTTGTGATGAATAGTTTATCAGTCTTTTTTTAATTATATTTTTTGAGATTGTACCTCGTTCGGTTTTAGAGGGATTTATTAATCTGGATTGAGTATTATTAGAAAAATTGGGTTTATGGTCCTAATGGTAAAACATAGACGTCTGTATATAACTGTCTTTTTGACTTAGACAAGACACTTACACCTCTACTAACATGATTTTGGGAGTTCATTTAGATTCTCTAATGCAACTCCCTTTCTATTCTTCTCCCTTTCTTTTCTTTTTTTTTCTGTTTTTCTATCTTTCTCTATATTTAATGTAGTGTCCTCCATTAGGTCACTTAAAAAAAGCAGCATATCACGACGAATAAAGGTCCATAAATCAGCGGAAACAAAATTTTGTCTCAATATGTTTATGTTGTTATGAAGAGGAAAGACCAAAGTATTTTTTAAATATTTTTTGAAATTTTTTTACTCCTTTCTAACACGTAGAAAATTTTGGTTAAAAATTTTTTTTTTTTTTTTTAAGACTGCGCGAGAATAGTAAAAAAAGGTTTGTTTTATTTTGCGCTTTTCCCTAGGAAAACACACATTAATTTGGGAAATTCTTGCAAAAATCAAATAATTATCGGATTTTAATGAAACTTTCAGGACTTATTCAGAAATGAATGAAATATCTTGTTAAAAAGAGATTTTTTTTTTAACATGTTACCACCCACTTACATATTTTCATGAAATTTCGAGAAATTAAATCTTCACGCGCGGAATTTGTTTTATTAGTTATAAACAGGACTCTTTGTAGAAAGTAAATCACCAGTTTTTTTGGGGGTGGAGGTTTGTAAAACATTACCCAGTTTCATAGAAAATCTGCTTTGAATTATAAAAAATAATGTAAAAAAGTATGACATTAATTAATTAGAAAAGCTTTCACCTGTTTTTGTAAATACGTTATACTAAGGACATTATTTTGTAAAGAAATAAATTTTTTTCGATGAATAATGTATTTTTTTCCCATTTTAAAATTTTTTTCATTAACTTCTTACTACTTCAAAAATCGTTTAAAATTCTTTATTGCTTTCAAGCACGTAATGCAATGATAACGTTAATGAAAAAGTAAATTTACGAATCGAAATTTGAAAAGCACATAACAGTCATTTGACCCAAAATATTTTTTAAATAATTTTTAAAAAATTTTTATTGAAAAAAAAACGTTCATAATTTCTACGTATGGAAATGTATACATGACATAATCCTTAAAAAATTTTAAACAATTATCTAATTAATAAAAAACTTTAAACTATTATATAATTAAGAAAGTATGAAATAAAAAATAGACATTACATAATTGCTGAATAAAAATGTTAATATTTAAAAAGTACTAGTTAAAAACGAAAAACCGCGTTCGCTTACTTTGCAAAAATTGTCAATTTTGATCATCCATAGTAATCTGTCATCACCTCGTCACAATCGATTTCTTTGATAAATTCAGACACATCGTTAAGAAATATTTGGATACAAATTTTTATGCTATAAGTAAGTACTGTTTGTTTCATATCAGATTAATTTAACTTTAAATTTTCTAATTTTACTCAAATAACATGTCAAAAATATATAAATTTATTTTTAGGAAGAAGTTTAAAATCAAAATTTTGTTTGTTTACAAATTTCTTAAAATTTAGGAAAATGGCCGCTTTTAAGAAAATTAAACAAAAATCGAGGATATATTTGACATTCCAATCTATATAATTTCTATCTGAAAGACACCAGAATATGTTACTTACTGTAAGTAATAAATTTAATGCTTTAGCTTTCAATTAATAACAACATATTGTTTGTTTTTGTTGATTTGAGCCTTTTTTAATCGTGATATGCTGCTTTTTTACGTGACCTAATGGAGGACCCTAATTTAATGTATTTTAAAATATTTTTTACGTATATATTTGATTTAAATTAAATCCATTTAAATAAACACACACACACATATATATATATATATATATATATATATATATGTATACACACACATTTTTACACGCACACACATATATGTGTGTGTGTGTATGTATACTAAAAGATAAATATATTCTTAATTTCCGAATGGCTTGTTCAAACTGGATGCTGTTAAGGCTTTATACTTATTATAAAAACAAATGACAATCCTTTAAAATATCAACTATTAACATGAACACAATGTACTGGTCGCATATGGAAATTAAGAATATATCTACCTTTCAGCAAACTTTAGACTGTTTACAATCGCACGTACACACCATTTACTATATATATATATATATATATATATATATATATATATATATATATATATATAGCCAGCAATTCCTCTTGTATACAAGTTTCATTTAAGACGACTGACAAGGCAGTGCGATTGAGATTTTTATTATATTTTTTCTTGCATTCGTACGACAAATTTCTTTCTTGAACATAAAGTGTGTAAGAACTGTCCGAGTGATCTTTCGGCTAATCTTAATCATCATTATTAAGGATTTTCTTTTTGTCTCAATAAATATATATAAGCCTTTTTCACTTCATAATTCTTGTCTTACTTCGTTGTCCTTTTTCCGATATTTGCTGATATTTGAGTGGAACTTGCACAATTCATTCACAACTTGCAATTATTTCATTTTCAAAGATAATTTTTCTTTTTTCAGTCTATTTTAAAAACAATACTGTTTTAATTTCTTTACAGGTATTACTACAAACGAGAGATTCTTGTTCGTGTTGATGGCCGGAGATTGGTGTACAGATTTGGTCCTCGGTCTTATGGCTGGAAAAAAAATGTGCGTCAACTCTAAAATCGTTTCTTAGAAACCAAATGAAACTCGTGAAGTCAGGAATATTACAGAAGACGCTAACGGTCTAAAATTAGTCTGATTCCAAAATATTCCACAATTAAATGAATCACAAGTTACAGCTGAAATTTACAATCTTTTTATTCAGTTGAACGTAACTCACAAAGCCAAAAAGCCAATGAAAAGCAAATTAACGGAAACATTTTTTCGGGTGGGAAGGAGTATTAGTTTTTCCCGACAGTAATGAAATACGAAAAGATGACCATTCCATTTTCTTAGATTTTTATTCCTAATTTTCTCATTCAGTAGACGTAATCAATACGCATTTCTCTAAATTATTTATTTGGAATCCCATGTGAATGTAAATACGTCTGATTTCTTTCAAAATCCTTTTCTTATTTCAATTTTTCTTATATTTCATAATATTTCATCAGTTTCAGTTCTGAGAAGAAAACACTGTAAAACAATTTATCGCACAAATTCATGCAGATCAGCGTTTGTGCTTGCAACAAAACAACGGCGCAGACAAGTCTTTCAAAATCCTTAAAATCCCACGTTCATACTAAAGAATAAATTTAAGTAAATCAATGACCACCTACCTTTCTGTTTATGGAAGATCGAAGAATAATTCTTCATAATCTTTCGGGCAACCCATATTCATTATCTGTAGACCAATCAAATCGAGATTCTCACTTTCAAAACGACTTAAGATTGGATAAACTGTGAAGACAATAAATATGAAAGAATTATTACTTTGAAAGAAAGTTTAATTACGAGGAGGATACAATCCAACTTTTCCTTTCAAAATATTTTTGAAAACATCGTTCTTCCAACTCTGACAGACAAAATCCGAATCCGTCCTAGGGAGCTGTTCCTCAGTGTATCTTTTTTTTTTCTACTTCACTGACTTCTCCATCCGAGCCGCTCTTGGCACGTCAACTCCTCTTTTGGATCCCTACGAAATGACATCGATGATTCATCGTGAGGTGCTAAAAAAGATGGAACAATGTTGTCATCAATCCGAATAGATAATAGAACCTTCAGGAATGTTTTCCTTAATAGCATTAAGACACATTTCTGCAGGTCGATCTGCCAAATCAAGAATCTATCCCCAGTCTTGTCTGTCAGTTTTGCCTCCCCCACCCCTAATGGAAGGGAGAACAATTAAAAATAACGGATAAGGAACGTTACAGATTGGATTGGTCTTCAAATAACAAAGAAAAAAACACAACTTTTGTCTATTGGAAGGCAAAACAAAACCGTCTTTAGCGTTATTCTTATTTTCTAAATATATTTTATTCTAATATTAGATCACAATAGTAGTGGCGCCTAGTGTGGATCGAACTGACTGTACTACCAAATTCGTCTGCAAAATAAAACTGCTATCTATCGCGCTATGTTCAAAATTATAAAAGATATACTTTGTTTAACTCTTGGAGTTAATAACGTAATTCGAAATACATTTTGAATCGTGTCCATTGCAAATAATTCACATTATCATCCGTGTCGAATTAGGTCCCTTTAAAGATATTTAGATACCATCAACACGTAATGACGTTCAACTCATTACAATGAATTACATTTTTCTGCGATAGGTATAAACTAAGATCGAGATGCGCCAGGCGTGGAAGGGGAAAATGGAAACAATTTTTGGAACGAAAAATTTGATTCCGGGAAGTGGGCGAGACAACTGGGCGGGGGTTTCAGATCGATATTTCAAGTGATTGCTTTAATTTTTGTGAACTGAATGAGGAAAAACTTGTCTACAGATCATGATTTCTTGTTTTTAGTTTAATTATCAGCCTAAAATTTGCGTTACCGAACTACAAAATCTGAAGGTATTTTACAAGATTGTTGAAAATGGCTTAGAATATTCTAGAATATTATGTGTAATATTTACAGCCGAAGACAAAGTGCCAAAGTCGCAGAGGAACAATTACGAAGAAGCTATAAACGCAAATTCTTTGCTCCTGCGTCCGTAAATTGGCACATCATTCATAACTGAATTTTGAATTTAATTGTATAATATTCCATAGATGTGAGTAACATTCACCAACGAATTAAGTACGTTTACAAGGAAGGAGAAAAGTAAATATTTGCTGTATAAAATTAATGCATCTTTCATCATTAGGTTGAGGACTTATTTATGTATATATCCACAAATGCACTCATATATATATATATATATATGTGTGTGTGTGTGTGTGTGTGTGTGTGTGTGTGTGTGTGTGTGTGTGTGTGTGTGTGTGTGTGTGTGTGTGTGTGTGTAAAGTAGGCAAATGGCTGACAGGATGAAAAAACTATTAGCGACGTGTTTCCTTCCTAGAAAGGACTACTTCCGACAACGTTTTTATAGATGGAATCAGTCTCATATATTTAATTAAAAAAGAGAAAAAATAGGAATGGAGAAAATACAACTAAGCCCGGTCACAGTTTGCAGTATTTTCTTTTGTGCTGATTAAATTTCTAATTGCTTAAGTCACTGGCATACATCAACATCGGATAAATTATTTTCCGTTATAATCGAGATATTTTCACATCTAGAATAATCGTACATTTACGATTTAAATCTAAATGTTCAATGCCTGTGTATGAGGAGAACTGTTAACCAACGCCTACTACATTTCATTCTACATATCCCGATATTTCTATATATTAGATTTATTCAATTCCATCGGTAAAATCATTATTTGTCTGAAGTTCTTTTTCGGAATTAAACGAATCACTCATATGTTATGTTTTCTATCTTGTACCGACTATTATTCTGATTTATATATATATATATATATATATATATATATATATATATATATATATATATATAAGTAAATTATAAAATGGAAAACATATTAATAACAAGTTTCCTTCAGAAATAAACGAGTTGACATTGATTTTTTGAACGAAACGCGTCATATCTCTGTTTTCGGTCTTGTCATTTATTTTCTTATTATTATATATATATATATATATATATATATATATATATATATATATATATATATATACATATATATTTATAATATATATATATATAAATAAATAGTGTTAACGTGTTATGTATATATAATACGTTAACACTATATTTATATATATATATATGAAAAATATAGTTTTAGCGTATGTTTTCCCTATGCATATATATATATATATATATATATATATATATAATAAAATATAGTTATGTTGTATATATGTGTGTGTGTGATAAAATATGGTTTCAACGTATGTTATATTTATGGATGGGAAAGTGATCTATTTCAGTGAGATACATTGTGTAAATATAATCAGTGTGGACGTGTGTATCAACACTGAATTTTTCCTGCTTGAACGCATTCCTCATGAACTGACGATTTATACCTCTATCCACTCATATATATATATATATATATATATATATATATATATATGAAGAAATATAGTTTTAAGGTATGCTATATTTATGTGATAAAGTGCTCAATATCAGAGATAGAGCGTATGTAAATATAAAAGTGGACATTGAAGTCAACACTAAGAGACAACATACTCTTTCATGGTAAACACAACCATCACGCATGACGATTGCGTTTAGCATGGAACAGTCTGTCGCCTCTAAGTGTTCACTTCAATGTTCGCTTTATATATATATATATATATATATATATATATATATATATATATATATATATTGCTTAAACGCAATCGTCAAGACATAGGGTTTGCGTAATCATAGACGTACTTTTCTCTGTGCGTGTGTTTAACTATTCTGAACCAAGCTGTTCTTTTTTTTATAACAGAAGCTATAAGAACATAATATTCACTCCTTCAATCCCACCCACCAACTCTAAAAAAGAAAAAAAATAGTTTCAAAATCAAAATTTTAACAAGTACACTTGTTACCTTCAATATGCGGATCAATGAATTTTGTGAACTTTTGAAATGATCGAGAAACCAATTTTTTCATCGTTTTTTTAATATTTTTGCAAGATCTTTTCTATCCTTACAAAAAGACTTTCTGATGGTTCAAATATTGTTTATTTTTCTAATAAAACAATTTCACAAATCAAAATCGTTAGCATTCTTCGATCGATTTTAAACCCAAATGTTTAATTTGTAAAAGCATATATATATATATATGTGTGTGTGTATGTGTGTGTGTGTGTGTATATATATAATATATATATACATATACACATACATATATATATATATATATATATATATATATATATATATATATATATATATATATATATATAAGCGTGTATCTGTGTGTGTGCTCTGATGTAATAGGCCGATGAAAGAAATCTGAGAGATAAAAAAACAACAAAAAAAATATAATTTATAAGAATTTTTTTTCGATAAAACTACACATCATTAAGTTTCTAAATAATGAAAAACTATTAAACCATAGGCAGGAATTAACGGTTTTTTTGCCGACATCAACAAATTTTCGCATTAAATAATTAGCAAAAAAAAATCCCATATTTTAATAAAAGTCTTAAGAGCTTAGTCAAATCATTAAATAGGAAAAACCCTTTCTGTAGTCGTCAAAAAACAAATTGAAATTCAGTGTAATACGGTTTGTATATAAAACACCCACTTGAATAAACAAATAAATAAATAAATAATCAGATAGACAATAATAAAATACAATCCTCCCGACACATAACGACTTGTAGGCGCTCCATAAAAATATCCCTCACTGGGAACCAACTAAAGGATGACCGCCAACATTAGCCTTGAAATAGATACCCTACCCAACCTTAGCAAAACCTCTCAGAAGATGATGAATCTATAGATAAGAATTAACTCTCTGACCACTTAACGAAGAAAATTAGCCTAGCCACTCCCACAATAACGAATGTTATAACGGACCATGCCTAAAAACACACGTAAACCAAGAGATAGCTTATTCCTAAAATTTCGACTGAAGATGAAACGGGACTAAACACCTCAATTCAACTTAATTTTAATAATTATTTGGATGGTTTCGGCTCTCGTTTTTGAAACATGAGAAGTCTTAT